CTAGCCTTGAGCTGAAGAGCTGAGGGACAGCGCCCAGGCCCAGAGTTCAGGCCCCACGACCGGACCCCCCCCCAAAAAAAAGAAAAGCTCAGGGACAGCACCCAGGCCCTGTGTTCAAGCCCTATGAGAGACAAAAAAAAAAGGAAGACCTAGGGAAATTTGTGTGACTGCCACAAAGGATAGATAGAGAGCAGTTATACCCAGCAAGTCCTGTCTGTTCCAATCCTTCTGGTCTCTGTGCTGTGTTCCTTTCTTCCCAGGTTCCAGGCAGGGCTTCTTTCAGAATGAAGGTTCCATGATGTACTACCAAACAAAGTAGAGTAGAGAATTTCTCTTTGGCCAGGTTTTACAAAGGAAGGTGGTAGGGCTGATTCCAGGAAGATTCCCTGACTTGTCTTGGGGAAGCAAGAACAGGAAAAAGTCAAATGCTAGTGGGTCATGCCTATAATCCTCGCTTCTTAGGAGGCTGAGATCTGAGAATCTGTTCAAAGCCCTTCTAGGCAGAAAAATCCATGAGATTCTTATCTCCAATTTATCACCAAAAAGCTGGAAGTGAAGCTGTAACTCAGGTATCAGAGCCCCAGCCTGGAACACATAGCTAAGGGACAGTGCCCAGGCCCTGACTTTAAGCCTTAGTACCAGCATGCACACATAGAGAGAGACAGAGACAGAGAGACAGACAGAGAGACAGAGAGATTAGAAGTGAAATTTAAGGTTGTGAGACATTAACACATTGGAAGTGAAATTTAAGGTTGTAAGACATTAGCACAGCGTTTTGAGAACCTAGAGATGAGAAACAAAAAGCAGCCCTTCTTTAACATGGGATGGATTCATAACCTTTCTTGCTCTTTCAAAATATTCTTGCTTCTAGGCTTTTATTTTAAGAGATAAGAAAGATGAAAGTGTGTAGTTATACTCAATCAATTTTTAACACTGATCAATTCAACTTGTTTATTGTTTTATGTCTCCAAGATCTCATATGTACAATATAGAGCAATAGCTAACAAACATTTCAAAGCCAGTTACATTTATCTTTTTTTTTTTTTAAGTCTAGGGGTGCTAAAGAATTGAGTTCACAACAGGGTCTGCCTTAGCTGAAATCGACTGGTGTTTTCTTGGTTGCCTGGAGACTGAACATTATCGATCTAGTTTTCATTGCTTCATTTATTTGGGGGGGGGGGTTCCGGTCGTGGGGCCTGAACTCTGGGCCTGGTCACTGTCCCTCAGCTCTTCAGCTCAAGGCTAGCACTCTACCACTTGAGCCACAGCGCCACTTCCGGCTTTTTTCTTTTTGCTTAT